TGCCAGAGCTGACTCTGGCCGAGGAGGAGAGGGCAGGTTCCATGGATCCGAGAAGACGATACCATGCCCGAGCTGCGCGAGCTCAAAGGCTATCGGATCGTGATGGCTATCGGATAGTGCTTTGTGATGGCTATCGCTGTGCGGATTCCGAACCAACCTTCTGAGCGCAGAACCATCCCCACACAGCCAAGACGTGAGCGAGCCCATCCCCACGGTCCAACGACCATCACAAAGGGTCACGGTCCAGCGACCACCACCCGGTTTGGCGTGATGAACTTCTATCCGCCTCCCTGAACTCCACATCTCCATAGTCATGTGCCCCTCAAGAACCACATGGAGGTTGCTTCACAAACACCTCATGTGCAGCATGGTACACTCCCTGAACTCATTATGCTTACCTGGATAGCACCACCTGTTCGGTCTTTGGATCACGGTCATCCCATGGCTCTTCAGGGCCGCTTTCCATCCACTTCCATGCTTGTTCCATTGAAGAAACTTCCAGTTCAGCCCACCACTTCCCCACTTCCACCACCTTCGACCACCTTCGTCCCGTGCCGCGAGGATCCGCGAGGCTCGCGCCCACCTCGAGGTCCTCCAGCGCAGCTGGGATCCAGGGGGCCCAAGTATTTCGTCCTTGGAAGCGCCCGGGCGACTCTGGCTCGGTGTGGCCCCCGTGTGTGGCGAGGAGTGGCTTCTCTTCATGGGTGCGAACATGGCCCGGAGTTTGGTGTTTTTCTTTCTTTTCGTAGGCGATCGATGGAGCGGCAGTGGAGCAACCATAGATCGAAGTGGAAGACCCCGGTGTCTAGTAGAGGAACATGGACTTCCAAAGGGACCATTTATATCTAAGTTGAACCGGGTAATCATCCAAAGACACTAGCAATCTCCGTGCTGAGAGCTTTGAAAGCCACATGAAACCTTGACCACTGTAGTCTTAGTACGCATGTTGTTCATAGACCTGGAAGAGACGGGGGCCACAATCACGAGATGAACATGAACAGAACCCTCTATGTTTACCTACCAATTACCTATCATCCTCCTCCAACTGGCTGAGACTTTTCATCTCAAAGCCGTATGCTTCTAAACGTAGAACCTAAACATCGAAAAAACAACAAAAACAATCCTCTACGCACACTGTATGGCTCCCCATCCCGCCCTTCTATGCCCTTCTACCCCCACTTGACTTATGTTGAAGAGTGGGAAATGACAATATCTACAAGGACAAAATGCACTAGAAAAAGAATTCTCCAATGATCTAAAAACAAGTTGGACAATTGAAAGGTGAAACCAAAGAAACTATAGACTAGATCAAACGACCAGAACTAATTCAAGCGTTCACAAGTTTGGTGGCCATTCGCTTTCCGGCAAGTGGATCGAGAATCGAGATACACTTTTTTGGCAATGATGTTGTGAACTTTACTTTGGACGGTTTGTCGCTTCTGAAGAGGCCATTCACTTGAGGAAATATATGAGTTCTGGATATACTGTAAACAAGTATTAGGCGAAACAGCCGCTACTACAAATCCAGTTGACTCACCTCCATGGATCGTCTGTCACACCTGTGAGCGTCTGCAGTGAAACTTCCAGTCCGCCAAAAACACATCAGAAGGCGATCTGCATACATATATCCGATATATCCCCATGACCTCTGCGCAGGCGCAGGCAACCATCGGCCTGTTCAGCTCTGTTGGCACTCATCTATCACCCTTTCGGCCAAAGGTGCCAACCCCCGTCCCAATGCTCCGCTTGGACCACCCGCATCCGACCGGCGCCCGGTCTGGCTTTGGGGGGCCGGGCCAAACAACTTCCGAGGTGGTGGCTTGGAGGGCAAAGATCTTGGGCCTGAGAGGTTGTCGGCACGTCTGGAACAGGGGAAACATGCGTCTGGGAGCAGCAATGGGGAGTGGTGTCATGGACAATGGACGATCAAGCTAAATATGTATAAGCCCAAGATGCTGGAGCTGGAGCTTTGTTTCAGATTTTAGCTTGAGTCTTCCAGGATGGTACAACTCCACTGGGACGACCAGTGGTGTCGCTTGAACTCTATGTCTAGGACCCTAAGCACTTCCGGCGACACCTGTGAAGACACCTTCTCGGTGAATCGTTGAGACTCGCCATTGGTAGCCGCTGAGACTCACGGGTGACCTAGAGGACCTAGAGGGGCGCGCCTTTAGCTGTTTCATCTCGTCCTTGAAAGAAAAGACCTGTTTTGATACTACTTGAGGACAGGGGCTGGTGACAAAAGCTAGCGAACGGGCTAGCAGGGCCAGGTGAACGCAGGGCAAAGAGGAAAGGAAAGGAGGCCAAAGAAGGATGTAAAGGAAGGACGGTAGAGAGGGGTGTTGAACACTTATATAAACCCTCAGAGCCGAATTCCAAGGGGGACAGGCTCCCATGGCTGTGATCAACTCTCGTGGTAGGCAAGTCCGGCCACGAGGCAAAAAACTTCCTAAAGCAAAAGCAACTCCAGCTAGCTGATGCTAGCATTCCTGATGATTCCTGATGATCCACTGTTTTTCTATATTTCTTCACCAATTGTGGCTACGAACGACAAGACCTGCTCTGTCCCCAGAGGTATTTCGTACCTTGAAGAAGTGGGCACAACTGAACATCAACGTTTCTAGAACATGGACAATGGAGACATCGTAGAAGCTGACGTCGTAGAGGATGTTCCCCAGACTGTGTGACTTACCAAATATGACAGATCGGTGTGTATTCTAAGAGGGAGACCTCTCAGTTCGACCTGCAGGAAGAAGGGAAATAGACCAAAAGCCATTGGTTGGGGGTCTCCTTATTCCAATTACACCGCATATTTTTGAAGGTCACTTTCAGTTTCGGCCACCGCCACCTTGCGACCGGACCCACCACCAGGCTTTGGAAGCAGGCAAACGCAGGGGCAAACGCTGGGCCCGACAGACGCATGGGACATCGCCAGAATCAACTTGTCGGCACCAAAGTCTCGCAGCTCCTGGTCTGCGGTGAATCAACATGTCTCGCCTTTGGGAGTTCAGTGTCCGTTGTTGGCTGTGAAAGCGTGAACAACACGACGAAGCTGTGGTGCTTGTGGAGATGTGGAGATGGGTCGAGCTTCGGTAAGACGAATGAGCAAAACAACTTTCTGTCACACATGGTGATGCAGCAAAGTGCAGCAAAAACGAGCATGTACTAATCCATCCTCTACAATCTATTTATTTTGCTCTTTAAATTTCAACTTTGTATCTGAAATGCCCATCATCATCATCTCCCGTTCTCTCTCTCTCTCTCTGCATGGACCTGAAGATCATGCAGCTCCATCCGCATGCCTTTTCTCCAGGAAAAGCAAACAAAGAAGCTTTCTCGTCCTCCAGGACAGAGGGCCTCTGCCTTTTTTGTGCCGCTCTTGCAGCTTGTCAGTCATGTAGGACTAGGACCAAACAATTGCAGCACAGCATACTGGATCTTGCTTTCAAGTCCGAGAACATGTAAACCCCATCGATTGCTGTTCTGTAAAAAATTAAGCATCTCCCGCACAAACCCAGACGTCTCGGAGCACATCCATCTGAGCGAAATCCTGACTTCGTTCAGTCCATGTCATGTGTTCTCTTCAAAATTGTCTTCATTTCTCAATCTGACCCAAGGACTATAGTACTATACTTAATTCATTTAACACGGATCGCGCTTGATTACCATTCGTTTCAGGTGTCACAGCAAACTGGGCGAACAGCTCCGGATAGAATCTGAGCTCCATCGTTGGATGGCATGACAACGCAAATGGTTCGGATTTTGAAACATTGAAACAACAATTGCCCATGAAGGATTTTGATATTATCAACCATTCCAAAATCTTCCAAAGACCCCAGAGACTAAAGTCATCATGTAGGGGAAGATGTACATATCACGCTTCAGGTCTCAAACTTTGAGTTGGGTTTGGCGAAAAGTGTTCGATTTTGGGGCTTGCATCCAATGGCTAACATGTCAGGTTTGTGCGAAAAAAATCACACCCAGACCCTGACAAAAAAAATTGGATCAATGGGCGAACCAATCTAATTAGTCGATATCCATCAGTGTGGATAGACAATCTGATTGGCGTTGCTATGGAAACACAAGCTTGGATATTCTGGAAAAAAGCAAAACTTCAGCAAAAGTCTTGTCTAAGGTCCTTGAGAAAAGAATAGGGAATCCATCATCCAAGGAATTGGCATGATTCACCCAGCTCAGATTTGCAATCGCTTCACAACTCAAACATGAGTCTACTGGGTGATGCAAGCAGGGTGATGCAAGCAGTACTTCTTACCTCGTCGACATATGAAGATCGGCGGTCAAAACCTGGAGCCCCAACAAAGGTGATGTTGCGAGCTTGACCTTCCAGGTAGGTCAACCGGTTGGTATCCTTGTACCATGACCCACAGCCACAAAACACCAGCAGGATTTCCAAGTTATTTGGTTGAAAGCTCCACACTCGAAACCTTCGTCCGCAAGAGACCCACCCAGGTTTTCAAAATTATTCTCTGAAGAAGCATATATATTTATATAATACATGGCTCGAAACCCAGATACTCCCGAAGACCGTTCATCAAAGAACCTGCCCATACATGACAATATGGATATGAAGCTCCACAAAAAGGCACGCGATACACATCCATACACTACTACATCCATCTATCTATAGTTATCTATTATATACAATATGCAATACTGTTAATATGCCTTGTTGGAGATATTGGCCTTTTTGAATCCTAGGGGCCACCCCTGTGTTTGAGTCCCTTTGCCATGTGGCTGTGGGGAAAGGAGCCATTACCTCAAAATAGGGTCATCTTCGGGGCAGACCGACCTAGCTGACCATTCCAGCGTTGCAAAAAATGCGGCGCGTCGGACCTGGGAAGCTGCATCTCAACGCAAAGAAGTTGCATTCTTGACCAACAAGGGGTAATTAATTGGTACCCCTGACGCAAATCCCAAAACATCATAATATATATCAGGCGATTTAGAGCTAATATGCTGCTCATCTGCAGGTACAGCAGTTTGGTCCATTTGATCCTTGGCTGACGGACTCTCTCATATTCTTGTCAAAAGCAACCCGCCCAAAAACGGCAACCCGGCCGGGCTTGTCCCATGGTTGGAAAACGCATGTTCCGCTGACATGCTGAACTGCTGGAAGGCGAGAGCAGTGGTTCCACCACACCGGGCGTTTCGCGGCACCGGAACTCTCGTCACCCACTTGTGTTCCACGTGACACACGCCCCTCCGGGGCACATGTGCTGACTTACAAGGAATGTGGTTCCAATCAATTCAACACCCTCAGAAACCAACGACGTGACCAACGACAGATTTGAACGACAACTGCTCGCCACTCTCAAATTGACCGGACCACAAGCATTTGTGGCTTCTCCATTCTTTGACACCCATCTCAGCATCTCAACCACCTGCCGCTCAGTTGATCGTGCAACAGCCGTTTTGTTTGCCCCTCAGCCAGAAGCTCTCCAAGGCTTCCTCTGCTGAGAGGCGCTGTGCTTCGGGGCTTTGGATCATCTCCTTGGCGAAGTCCAAGCCCTGCATTCTGAACCTGGGCAAAATCAAGCCGGGCACGTTTCGGTGTACGGGTAGGTACCCCTGATGATGTGAGATCAAACCCGGCAGAATCCAGGAGAGATCTTGTTGACCATTCTCAAGTAAAGAATCATCAATCATGCAAGTAGACACAGAAAAGGAATGGCTTGGCTATTTCCTATCGCTGCCGAGGTTTGGGGTTTGGACATGGAGGATGGGCACACACACATATCATATATATATATTATATTTATATACAATCATATTTATGATAATAGAGAGATATCCGATGTACAAAGGGTACCCAAGTGGTCTGTTACCTTTTCGGTTAACAATCCATTGAGCATCATTCAACATGAACTCCCAAACCGGCACTAATTAAAGGTGATGAGTGACCCCAGTACCCCTCAAGCACTTGACTGAGTGATGACAGGATCAAACACCTTGTGAAAGTCAACATAGAGGGAACCCACCACAAGTGCATGGACACCCCAGTTCACTTGTTTGTAGAGAAGACTGTGCTTCTTTCATGTTTCATTCGTCAGTTTTCCTGTCTTTGGGGGGGAACAACCTGCTGATCAATTCATCTCCCGAAAAACTTGGTGATGCTCCGAAGACCTTGGGACCCTCTTACTTAAACCCTCATAAATCCTGGAAACAACCCCAGGTCAAACCTGGAGAACGCCTGCCAAGCTTGGAGAACAGGGGAGGCTTGGTGAGAACCCCACGACAATTGTCTGGTTAGGGGTATTTAACGAAAGAACAAATATGAGGACCTGTTGGGTTCAATCTGCCCGAGAGTTCCCAAGTTTTCAGGGTTGAACAGAACTCTTGGCTTCTTCATCCCGACATGTTTTTTCGCCTACACAAACCATTTGGGAAGACTCTGAGCCCTTCCGAGTCCTGTCCTGGACAGTGTATCTGAGGAACTCACCCAGTTGTTGAAATGAAGTGTGTCGTTTTTATGACACGGGAGACCTCCCAGGTGTTCCGAACCCCTGGAAGCTTCGGGTGTCCGTCTGACCAGTCCGAACTACCAGTCCACCATAGTCTACCCAGCCAGGGCCAGGGTGTCGCCCTATTTTTGGAGCGTCCGACCGCTCCGTTCGGTTCGCGATGCCCTTTGTTCCGTTCGTAGCTTCTTGATCTTCTTGTCATTGTTACTACCAACAAATGCCCGGAGCGCCCCGTTTGATTCGTGTCCCATGCACCCAGCTGTGTGAAGCCATGGAACTCCGTGCCACGCCAGGTCTTCTCATCAAGAAGGTCTTCGGGCGGGGGAGGTGTGTGTGGGGCCTCCGCTGTCTCTCCATGCTCGCTCAGCTGCCAGTAGTGCTTTCCTCACAGAGGCCGCGGCCACAAGTTTAGCAAACTCTTTTTAAACATGACTTAGAGTCATGAGTATCCAGTATAACTAAGCAAGCCAAGCTGATTGGCTTATCAACCCCAAGAGATCTATAGAGATGCCATTCTCCAACGAACGAATCGAGTGGCCAATCAGCTTAGTGTATCCAGTGTACAGCTCAGTGTATCCTATCAGCTTAGCCACCTGTCACCAGGTTGATGAAGAGGATGCCCATGCCTCGACCACCACAGGTCCGGGCCACTCACGACGGTAGAGTGGACGAGGGGGTGGGACTTGTGGTGGGAAGGCAACGTAACAACTCAATACAAATTGAAGGGTGGGACTGGCGGAAAAACGGTCTGTTTCACTCAATGTCCAATCTGTTGGGCTGAAAAGAAGGCTGAAACTTCTTGATTTGCACTTGTCACTCCCAGTGCCAGTTTGAGAGGCACTCTCAGGTCGGCTCAGGCCCTGAGAAGAAAGAAGGTGCTGTGGATCCACACCTTCGAAACATGATGGCCTGAAAGACATCATCATATCAGACGTGTTCCTAGTGGTGCGAGTGCGCCAGATCGGACATGATCGGTTCCCTCAAAAAGGGCCACGGTCGATCGGTTGTGCGGAAGATCCACGTGCCGAACACCAGAAACCATGGCAAATCCCTGGCGATGTTCGGGTGGGATTTGTCCAGTTCCTGATTTCTACGTCTCTCACCCTGCTCTCCTCTCTTCTCTCCTCTCTTCTCTCCTCTCTTCTCTCCTCTCT